TTCATGACAAAAACTGTCATACATCTACTGCAATGGTTGCAATAATGTGTTTTAATTTCCTATGATTATTAAATGATATATAATATTCTAACACTAGCAAAAGCTAAAACTCTTTCATTATAAAAAAATCAATAGAGCTTAGTTGAAGAACCATATTGTCTACTAACTTCACCTCTAATCTCCAATAACACGAGCTTGTACTGTACATCAATTTTGTATTCCAGTTAAAAAACTGTTAATATTTTCAAAAATATAAATTATCAATGAAATGAAAATGTTTGATTACACTTTCAATCATTTTCAATTCCTATAATATCAACAGTCACACACTGAATGATCACGACTTTCTAATTCTTTTCAACCATAACAATAAAGACACAAAATTAAACAAAAGAAGGAAGCCAATTAAAATTTTCTCTTCAATCATCTTAATGATAATAGTAAAAGAAAATTCACAACAAGAAATTCAATAAGAAGTTCACGACAAGAAATTCAACTTCAGAATGCACAGAGCTAACTATTTCCAAAGTAATTCTCTTCAAATAGTCTTAACAGTAAGAAAAATCAAACGATTATGCACAAAACGGAGAGACCTACTTTTCCATAACATATCAAAATGGAGAGAGAAGAGAGAAGAGGGAAGAGATAAGAGAGAAAAGAACCTTACTTGAGAAATATGAATAGTCCCAATGATGCAACTAATTATGTCAACATAAAACTAAATTCATTCAAGCTTTATATTTATTCCCTTCAAACATTTTTTTTACTTTCTATTATTATTATTATTTTTATTTTTATCATTATAACTTATATACAAATCAAAAAATGGCTTAATTCTAATACAACCGCTGAAAATTATGGAAAATACAATTGATTGTAATTTTTATCATTTACAAACAACAATTATCTTACATAATTTTAATTTTGTTATTTATTAAAAAACTAATTTACTTGTAATTGGGTCATTATTTAGAATCACATAAATTAATAAATGTGTGTTACTTGTGACACCCTAAATTTAAAGTCATTAAATTATAGTATCAGTCTTGGGGATCTCGCTTGAGCGAGAAAGGCGTCGTCTGGGCGAGAGAGGCTCACCTGAGGGGTGAAATCATGGGCTATACTGAAGGTTTCTCGCTTGAGCGAGAGTTGTCTCGCTTGAGCGAGAGTGGTCTCACCTGAGCGAGAGTTGTCTCGCCTGGGCGAGAGAGCCAGATCTGAAAATTTAAAAAGGCGGGATTTTCTCGCTTGAGCGAGAATGAGCTCGCTTGAGCGAGAACCCGACGAGTTTACTGTATAATAGAAACTCCAAACACATTTTAGGGTTATAAATTGATAGAGAAGAGCGGAGAAGGTGATTTTGAGAGCAAGAACTCGTGGGAATCATCTATAAGCTTGGGAATAGGTAAATCTCTTGATTCTAACTCTCTTTCTCCCTTTAAAACTTGTTTTGGAATGTATGAGATCTCTTCTCAAAGTATGAGAAACCATGGAAACTCTTCCTTTTGAGTTATGGTTCATTTTATTTAGTTTCTCTCTTGTAAACTCTTGATTTAGAGTTAGTATTCAAAGAATGGAAAGGGTTTGTGGGTTGATTCATGAAAACCCCAAAACCCCCAAAAAGAGAATGTGGTAAAAGAGAAGATGAGTGAAATGTTAGATTTAGAATGTGATTTATGAATGTTGAATGTTTATTAGAAGATGTATAGGTGTATTTTGGATGTTTGGAAACTCTTAACGAAGTAGTTTTGGAAACATTGAAAATGTATGAAACTCTTGTGTGTTAAAGATGAAATATGGGTTATTATGTGTTATTTTGAATAAAATCAGTAACATTGTTGTTATTGGTGGGGATGAGGAAAGATCCTAAGGTTGGAGGCGGTTTCCGAGGAACTTGCGAAGTGGTAGTGGATCATTGAGGGAAATTACCTACCCGAAGTGGTAGTGGATCATTGAGCGAAATTACCTACCCGAAGTGGTAGTGGATCATTGAGGGAAATTACCTACACGATGTGAAGAAGATCTTGCTCCTGACCTTGGCACGGTTTTGATGGAGACACTAATATCACAAAAAGAAGAAAAGAAGAAGACTGAAAAAGACTATCGAAGATAAAGCTTCAAGAAATAGAGTCTAAGTCTTTAGGTACTTCTATCCTTACAACACCTTTATTTACTTAGTTAATAAAGCTCAAAATTGTTTTCAAGAAAATCAAGAAAAACTAAGTGTGAATAAAATAATTTTCAAAAACAACATGTAACGGATTACCATATTTGAATAACAAGTTACTTGAGTGAGAAAAGAGTTTTCAAACCTCTAACAGCTATGAGTAATCCATTACAGACTCTGGAGTAACAGATTTCCATTTTTAGAAAACAGGGTAATCGATTACTCAAAGTAGTGTAATCGATTACACTAAGGAAAACTCACAAAGCTGTCAAACTGTGTTTTTGAGTAATCGATTACTCAAATCCAGTAATCGATTACACTATGTGAATTTTCAAAAAAGTTGTTAACAGTATTGTTGGGTAATCGATTACCCATTTGCAGTAATCGATTACTAAGAGTTGTTGCATCAGTTTTTCAGATTTCAAGTGAAGAGGTTTCACTTCAAACTGATTACTTTCATTCCAAACGAAACCTACTCATGCCTAAGGGTATTATGGTTGATTGGATGCCTATATAAAGGCATTGAAACACTCTCACAAAATACAACAACTCATATTACAAACTTTTACTTGAAACTCTCAAAAGCTCTCACACTTTCTGATTTTACTTACACTTTTCAAGCGACCTACTCTTAAACTTTCAAAGTTATTTTGAAGTTGCTTCTAAGTGTTTTTCATATTGTTAAAGAGCATTATTATCTCAAGTATACGAGTTGTTATTGGATTGCAAGTTATAGAAATTGTCATATACACTTGTAAGGCAATCCAAGCCAAATTGTAAATTCATCACTTTCGAAAAGTTTACTTTCTTTCACAAGGGTGTGAAGAGAAAGGGTGAGTGACTTGGTATAGTGTTTACCAAGGGTGTAACTTGATATAGTGTTTACCAAGGGTGTTACTTGGAATAGAGTTTTTCAAAGGGATTAGATATAAGTGAGTGTGTAAGGTACAAGGAGATCTCGGGGTGAGATAATTGTAATTGCAACTCATTATATTTAATAAAGGAATCTCTTGCGCGTCAAGAGTACTGGACGTAGCTTTTGGTGGACAAGAAGGTGAACCAGTATAAAATACTTGCGTACTCTCTTTCCATTCTCTTTGTTATTTATTTATCCTTCCTAAGTCAATATTTTTCTGCATATTATTTCCGCTGCACATTAACTTTGATATTGCAGAAAAATTGGCCATACTTATTGCAACAACTAATTCACCCCCCCCCCCCCCCCCCTCCTAATTCTCTTAACATGTTTTGCAGGTTGATTTGAGCGCCGCCCGCAATTTATGGTACTTGAATAGCGGTTTCTCAAAGCATATGACGGGCGATAAAAGTAAGTTCTTTGTCCTTACTCCAAGGGACAAAGGCTATGTCACATATGGTGACAACAAGAAAGGAAGAATTCTTGGAGTCGGTAGAATCGGCAAGCCACCTTCAACAACCATAGAAGGAGTACTATATGTGGAAGGACTTAAGCACAATCTTCTAAGCATAAGTCAATTTTGCGACAAGGGCTTCCATGTATCATTCTACCCAGATAAGTCCATCATTGAAAGTAAGGAATTTCTAAACTCTAATCTTATTGGTAAGAGAATTAATAACATTTACATGATAGATATAGATTCATCTCTTCCTATAACATGTTTAGTTGTAAATGACATTCATGATGCATAGCTTTGGCATAGGAGAATTGCTCACATACATATGAACCATTTGAATAAGCTAAACAAGAAAGATTTGGTTGTTGGTTTACCCAAGATGAAGTTTGTTAAAGACAAACTATGTGGTGCATGTCAAATGGGTAAACAATCAAAAACCTCTTTCAAACCAAAGCATATGGTTTCTTCGGATAGACCATTGCAGTTACTACACATGGACTTATTTGGCCCTTCAAGGACAAAAAGTCTTGGTGGTAACTACTATGCTCTTGTTATAGTAGATGATTTTTCACGCTACACTTGGACTCTCTTCTTAGTACATAAGAATGAGACATTCAAAGCCTTTAGCACTTACGCTAAAAGAGCCCAAAACGAAAAGTCACTTAAAATCGTTGCTATAAGAAGTGATCATGGGGGAGAGTTTCAAAATGCTTCTTTTGAGGAATTTTGTGATGATCTTGGGATTAATCACAACTTTTCTGCTCCTATAACACCACAACAAAATGGTGTTGTAGAGAGAAAGAATCGATCTTTGGAAGAACTCGCTAGAACATTGTTGAATGAAACTAACCTTCCAAAGTACTTTTGGGTTGATGCGGTAAGCACCGCTTTTTATGTTTCAAATAGAGTTCTAATAAGACCTATTCTAAAGAAAACCCCCTATGAACTCTTCAAAGGAAGAAAACCAAACATTTCACACTTGCATGTATTTGGTTGTAAATGTTTCATCTTGAATAATGACAAAGAAAATTTAGGCAAGTTTGATGCAAAGGCAGATGAATGACTCTTCCTAGGCTATTCTCTCACGAGTAAAGCTTATAAAGTCTTTAACAAAAGAGCTCTAACTATGGAAGAATCTGTCCATTGTCGCGACCCCATTTTCGGTTGGAAGACCGGCTCTGCGACTTAGGGAGAGGTGAACTCGATTTCTACCTCTTCCAAATGATTTGGAGTCGCCAGTACGTTTTTTGCGGATAAAACGTAGAAAACTCAAAATATGCCCAATTAGGATAATTTGGTCTTTAATCAGAGATTCTGAGCTCGGGAGTTGATTACGGATCGGGGAAAGTATTAGAACATCGTCCGCCCGTATTAAAACGGTACCCTTGTTAATAACATGGACTTTTATACCCTTAAAATTACTTATTAAAATTCAGGAAATAAAAACAAAATGAAATAAAGAATAGACTTACGAATAATTAAGAAGGTTACCCCCACTAAACCTGCAGAAAATGAAATAGAATTGGGATTGAAATCCCTAGCCTTTCCCTTTGGTGATTTCACTCGGTCCGGCGATGAGGGGCGTCGGCTTCAGCTTGCAGAGGAGGCGGCAAAGACGACTCAAGCAAGGAGGCTAGCTGTCCACAGCAACCATGCACCAAGACGTCTTGGATGGCCAACAACCAAGAGCACGGCGGCTCCGGTTCAAGCGAGGAGGCTGGAGTTAAGGAGAACCGGTGATGGGTTCTCTCTTCTCAATGGTGGCAGTACTACGGGATGGAGAAGATGACTGTGCCGCAGGTTCTCTTCAACGGTGATAGCGGTGGCGAGAAGCCCCAATGGTGGTTCTGCCGTGATGAGGTGCTTCGAGTCCGGTGCTTCCGGCGATGATAAGGGTAATCATCTTCTCCCTTACTTCCTTTGTCCTTTTCTTTTCTTTTTTCTTATGATTGATGGCTGCAAATACACCTTTGCTTTGCTAATCGTGTAACAGTTGTGTGTATACCTTTGCCTTTTGAAGGTTAATCCTCTCTTCTGGTATGTCCTTTACTGCTTTGTTTATCAATATCTGACTGCTTTCTCCTTTGAACTGCTACTCGTGTTGATAAGATTTTCTAATTTCTGGGTACACTCTCTTTTTGGTGCCATACGTATTATGTATTGTGATGATTTTTTGATAAGGTGTTGTTTGAGTGATCATGTGTGCTTGTGACTTCAATATTTCGGACTGCTGTATACCTCTGATAGCTTGTGTATATATGAATGTGTGTATGAAGCAATAATGGTAGGTAGGAGGGTTGAGAGGATTAAGGTAATGGTTAAAGTATTCATGTCTTTGGCTATGGGTTTGAAAAAGATTTGATAGCTATGTGGGAAAATCTTGTGAACGCATTTCTTTTGGTTGTTGGGTGGTGTAGGAGTGCATGGGTATATGGATTGCTCTCTCTCTTGTATAGCAATTGCCTATGAATGTGTTGTATGCCCTTTGGGTTGTATGTGTAGTTTCTTTGTTGTAGGTATGGGTGTGTGTGAGATTTGTCGTGATGGATAACACAAATAGTGGGTGGATGTAGGTTAGTGATATGTGTGTAGATAATGAAAGCAGGAGTATTTGGGAGTGTGTTGTGGTTATGGAAATTATGCGAGGTGTATGTATGCTGAAAAAGAATACGGATGTGTGTATGTATTCGAATGATAGATAGGTCGCATAAAAACTTTTTGGATAGAAGCTCCCCCTTTTTTCTTGCAAAAGGCCAAATGTACCTCCCCTTTATACTCTGTGTTGGTTGCTTCTTATAGCTGATTGGAGTTATTGCCAGAATCCCTTCAATTGCTCAACAACATTGATTTTTACCAACGAAACTGCCCATGACTGCTGACCTTTTACTCTGATTATTCTCCCATGATTGCACCACAATTATTTCCATTTATGCTGATAATGTGTAACTGCAATCAGAATATTTCTATAGGCCTTGGTTTCTGATTTGCATCTCTTGAAATCTTGCTTGATATCCTACGGCTGAAATCACTTGTTCCCTTTTCCTCTTTTTTTTCATAATGACTTAGATTATAACTTTAAGGGGGAATTTGTTCACTGACTTTTGGCTTATTCTGTTTGCTTCTGATTATTCCACTACCATGATTATCCCATTTAATTTGCTCACTATGCTCATCAATGTTGACTATTCATGGGAATGGCAACAACCATGGTTTTACATTGCCTTTCATGTGTAACTATTCAGATTTGTTCCTATTAAAATGTGTGTAACTGAAAAGAGAATGTGCCAATAGCCAGTATTCAGATTTGTTCCTTTCATACGTGACTCTTGGATGGTTGCTTTCTTTCCATAATTGATGGTCTACTTTATTGTTTGTTTTTTTTTATATGTGTAACTGAAGCAATTCCTGGTTTGCATGCTGATTGTGCATTTCAATTAATTGTTGCCTACCTTTCTTGTGATACTGAGGTGTATTGTTGGTTTGGCAGGGAAATGGTACCAAAGGGTATGTGGCACTGTTCTGATATTAGGACTTGAGCGGTTGTAGGTTCAAGAGCAAGGTAAGAAGCTTCATAAATCTTCAATTCTTGTTTGGTAATTTTTATTTTTCCAGTTCTGTACGCTAATAGCTTCATTGTCTGGTTCAGGTTTGACGTGTATCTATAGTTCTCCAGCATCTCCCGCAAAGATGGCTCAGTCACACTTAAGAATCTCAACTTTGTTTCCAGAAACTTCTCAAAGACCATTTTGAACTTATTAGAACTCAATCCCATCCCGTCTATGACTCATGAGCTGGGGAAAGAAGACTTTTTATGTTGCCTGTCATGGGCTCAAAGAAATGTGTGTGAAAGATGAACAACACATTATGTTTAATAATTGTCAACGTTTTGAAAAGACTTTTTTATTGATTCATTGGCCTTACTACACTTTATAATCTAGATTTAATAATGGATTGGAATCAACTAGCTTGTTTTGTTGACAAGATATTGGTGACCTTTCATTTGTTCAGGTAATAACAATCACTAGAACTATATGTTCAAGATCATGTAAGTGTGCTTCATGATACTACGATTGGTATCTCATGGTCTATGTTATAACGCTCCCCTTTAAACTGAATATTTATCCATGTTTATCACCATAATTCTAGAGCAAGATTACTCGAAATAATTTTGTCGATAACAAAGGTTTTGTATTTGATAGTTTACGACTGAATAATCGTAGGAGATATAAATGGTTCAAAGCTGTTTGAAAAAATATGCTCTCTCTTTTTTTCCAAAAGAATTGATAATTTTTGAAAATATTGTAAATAGGCCGGACAAAATTGGGTGTTAACATCCATGTCTCCTTTGATGAAACCAATCCTCTAATCAAGGAAAGGTTGACCATTAATGAAGAAGATTTACCTAACTCTACTTTTAATGAAAATGCTATTATTGAAACGACACCTAATATAGAGCATGTGGAAGTGGATGATAATCCTTCCATACAAGAAGAGCATATTCACTCTGATTTACCCAAAGAGTGGAGAACTCATCGAGATCATCCTATAGTCATCATTATTAGCGATATTAACAAAGGTGTTACCACTCGCTTAATGCTAGAAAATGCTTGTCTAAACATGGCCTTTGTTTCTCAATTAGAACCATCTAAGATTGATGAAGCAATCGAGGATGAACACTGGATTCTTGCTATGCAAGAAGAACTTAACCAATTTAAGAGAAACGAAGTTTGGGAACTTGTTCCTAAACCTAAGAATAGGCATGTAATAGGAACTCGCTGGGTATTTCGCAATAAATCAGATGAAAATGGTATAATCATTAGAAACAAGGCTAGACTAGTAGCCCAAGGATACAACCAAGAGGAAGGTATAGACTTTGATGAAACCTTCGCTCCGGTTGCTAGACTTGAAGCAATTAGACTGCTACTTGCATATGCATGCTCTTTGAACTTTCATCTTTACCAAATGGATGTAAAGAGTGTGTTCCTTAACGAGTATATACAAGAGGAAGTATTTGTAGAACAACCTCCTGGTTTTGAGGACTACAAATATCCCTCTCACGTATACAAGTTAAAGAAAGCCCTCTATGGCTTAAAGCAAGCTCCACGTGCTTGTTATGACCATCTAACCAACTTTCTAACAAAAAAGGTTTTACAAAAGGCAAGGTCGATAGTATACTATTTATTAAGAAGATAAATCATCATACTTTACTTGTTCAAATTTATGTTGATGATATTATTTTCGGTTCTACTAATGAAAGTTTGTGTAGTGAATTTGGCAATATGATGCAAGGAGAATTTGAGATGTCTATGATGGGAAAGTTAAATTACTTTCTTGGTCTCCAAATTAAGCAACTCAATAATGGTATCTTTGTAAGTCAGTCCAAATATTGCAAAGACTTGTTGAAAAGATTTGAGATGGATGACTGCAAGCCGATTGCTACTCCTATGGGATCAAGTACATACATCGATGCTGATGACGCTGGAAAATGTATTGAAATATCTAAGTATCGAGGTATGATCAGATCTCTTTTATATCTTACTGCCAGTAGACCTGATATTATGTTTAGTGTATGTCTTTGTGCGCGATATCAATCTAAACCCAAAGAGTCACATCTAGTTGTCGTTAAGAGAATCATGAAGTATCTCAAAGGCACAACCGATGTTGGATTGTGGTATCCTAAGAGAAGTGTATGCGAATTGGTTGGCTTCTCGGATTCAGACTTTGCGGGATGCAAGTCTGAGAAAAAAAGTACAAGTGGTACTTGCCACATTCTAGGAAATGCTTTAGTTTCTTGGTCTTGCAAGAAACAAGCTTGTGTTGCCTTAAGCACCGCTGAAGCGAAATATATTGCTGCCGTAGTTGTTGTGCATAAGTGTTGTGGCTCAAACAACAATTACGGGATTACGGCTTAAACTTAGGCTGCACACCCTTGAAATGTGACAATACTAGTGCTATTAATCTCACCAAAAATCCGATTATGCACTCAAGAACCAAACACATTGATATAAGGCATCCTTTCCTTAGGGACCATGTCCAAAAGAAGGATGTGTTGGTAGAATTCATTGATACTCATAATCAACTAGCAGACATATTTACTAAACCGTTAGCAAAAGAACCTTTTTATAAGATTAGACGAGAATTAGGCATTCTCGATGAAGCTTACTTGTCCTAACATGTTTAAATGTTTATATGTATGCTTCATTGTTTATATTCAATGCCTACTTGATCTTAAATTGTGTGTTTTATGCTTTAATTTTCAAGTTTTTAGAGCCAACAATCAATTTTTAGCATCAGTGGGAAAACAGTATGTTACAATAATCGATTACTGTAATGGTGTAATCGAATACAGAGAGACACTGTTTGAAAAATTTTGAATTTTTGAAAGTGATTAATCGATTACTCTGTGCAGTTATATATATGAACTGCTGCATTTTTTCAGAAATCCTCCATTTTTTCTCTCTCCTATAACTCGAGTTCTCCCTCTCCAAACCCTCTCATTCTCTAAAAACCTCATTTCTACTCTGTTTTGATTGATTTTTGTTGCAAATCACATCACATTTTCAATTCTAAACACTTCTACACTTTCTATTTCGTGATTTGTGGCCTAAATAAAAAACCCCCAAATTTCCAAATTCAAAAACCCTAAACCTTCAAATACCAACAATGGCTTCATCTTCAAAATGACCATGTTCTTCAAAGTCTAAGCAAGGAGAATCAACTACCAAGTCCAACCCATTGAACTTGACGAGGCTTCTTGCTAATGACGCTCAAAGGAAGGTCTTTCAGGAAAACTTCCATGGACGCGCCATCTTCACTCCTAAGTACGGTAACATTGGGAACTTTGAGTTTGAAGATTTTCTTTTTCCTTATCTTTTGCGGCACAAAAAACTTTTTGACTTTTGCTGCGAAGCGAACGATATTTATCCTGAGCTTGTTCACGTATTTTAATGCAACATGAACTTTAGCAAAAATCTTATGACTTCCCATGTTAAGGGAAAGGACATTGTTTTGGATATGAAAACCTTTAGTTCTATTTGCTGTGATATACCGATGATAGGCGACATTACTGGGTTCGGCCTGGTATGTGAATGGGATGATTACGATCGCAAGAAATTCTATCTTTCCATTTGTAGAATTTCTAAGGAGGAAATAGAAAGGCGAAAGCAACAAAGCCTTGGCGAGACTGTTAAGAACATGCATATCCTCTCTGCTGGATATCTCACGCTGGAAGATCGTTTGATACATTATTTTCTTTCCTATGTCATTTTGCCAAAATTTTCAAACCATTCGCAAATAAGTGACATAGAGCTCCAATTGATGTATGCTATCAAGTTTAACATCAAAATTAATTGGACTAAGATGATAATGAATCAAATGTGGCATGTTCGCAGCTCCCAAAGTCCGTTGCCCTACGCTATCTTCATTACCAAAATTCTTGAGCATTTCGGCGTACCTTTAGAAGGTGAGACCAAAGTGGCCCTCAATCTTCGCGAAAGCAAGGTTGATATTGAGGTTGTCCACAAGATGGGATTCGTTATAGATCCTGTCACTTGTCGAACGTACAAGCATCGTATCGACCGCCAACCTGCTCCTACCGACGAACTAGAACCTGTTGCTGCATCAAACCAACCTGACTCTCATGCTCAATCTTCTGCATATGCTGCAATACCCACTAATCAGATGATTATGGATGAATTGGTTTCTCTTCGAGGCTACATCACCACAAGGATGGATGCTTTCGATACCCAGAGCCAACAAATCCATTACGAACTTCATCGTCTTTCTTCGAGGCTAAGCAACATGGATGTTGATGAAGATAGTTCCGAGCCCGAGTCTTAGATTATTTTGTCTAGGTTTCTGATTCTGTAATGACTATGGCTGTGCTAGTTCCATTTGCTTTTGAACATTGTTTGGGTTATTTCTTGCTGTTTTTTGGATTTCGTGTATGAACATCTTACATTATTAGTTATGCAATGTGTTAAATTTCGTTTTCATACATGATGTTAATTATATTATGTTTAAATTAGTTATGCAATGTGTTAATTTGTAGAGCAACATCTCTACAAATGTCTATTGTGCTAGACTCTTGGCTTTTCTTCTTTTTGATGACGCCAAAAGGGGGAGAAAAGTTGGGAGATGTGTATTTTCTGTCAATATTTTTCCAGGCACATAATTCCAAAAGAAAGGGGGAGCATACATGCATACATATAGGGGGAGCATACTCAACACAAGTCAAGATATATCATCAAGTATGATGCTCTCAGAAAATTACACTTTCAAGAAGACATTGGTTTGTCATCATCAAAAAGGGGGAGATTGTGAAGAAGATCTTGCTCCTGACCTTGGCACGATTTTCATGAAGACACCAATATCACAAAAATAAGAAAGGAAGAAGACCGACAAAGACTATCGAAGATAAAGCTTCAAGAAATAGAGTCTAAGTCTTTAGGTACTTCTATCCTTACAACTCCTTTATTTACTTAGTTAATAATGCTCAAAATTGTTTTCAAGAAAATCAAGAAAAACTAAGTGTGAATAAAATAATTTTCAAAAACAACATGTAACGGGTTACCATATTTGAGTAACAAGTTACATTAGTGAGAAAAGAGTTTTCAAACCTCTAACAGCTATGAGTAATCCAGCACAAACTTTGGAGTAACAGATTACCATTTTTAGAAAACAGGGTAATCGATTACTCAAAGTAGTGTAATCGATTACACTAAGGCAAATTTACAAAGCTGTGAAACAGTGTTGTTGAGTAATCGATTACTCAAATCCAGTAATCGATTACACTGTGTGAATTTTCAAAAAGTTGTTAACAGGATTGTTGGGTAATCGATTACCCATTTGCAGTAATCGATTACTGAGAGCTGTTGCATCAATTTTTCAGATTTCAAGTGAAGAGGTTTCACTTCAAACTGATTGTTTTTCATTCCAAACGAAACCTACTCATGCCTAAGGGTATTATGATTGATTGGAAGCCTATATAAAGGCATTGAAACACT